GACCCTTGCCCTCGTCTTTGCGGACCATGTCTCCCGGACCGACATGCTCGCTGCCATAGGTAGGCATCCCATACCAGAGGCTTTGCAGCTTCTTGGTTGTTTGGCAGTCTCTCATCCCGCGAAAGTCTGGAACATGCAGAGTGCGCACCCATTGACTTTCTAGAACGCGACTCACCGCCTCTATCCATGGTCACATTCTCGTAGCTCAGGATGGCGTTCACGGCGTGGTACCGGTACCCGCCCCATCTGCCCATGTTCAACTTGTTCCGAGGTGGATTTCTCGTCATCAAAAACGACGCCCACCTTGCGGCATAATTACGTCACTGAAGCTAAATCGTGCCCCGCCGTTCCCAACCCCTGCCCAAACAGTGTCAACGCTCACGTCTTCCCGCTCCCGTAATCCTTCCGTGTCTGCATTAACTGAGTCAACATTGCACCCGGTCGAGTCACTACACACACACTTCAACGTCTGCATTGGACGAGAGTTTCAGGACTCGGGCTTTAGATACTTGATAGCCTATACAAAGAAAAGATATTATCTAGCACTGGTGTTTCTGCAGCGCTTTCCTAGGAGTCAAAGTGCAGTAGGTACTTGGTTTTGTCCGCGCCTAACCGACCATCATCTACCGGCCCCGGTCTGTCTCATGTATCCAAAGTGTATTCGTCTACTCGTCAACCTTGAGAGGCTCGACGTTCCAAATCTCCTCTGCGTACTCGTTGATGCAACGGTCACTGCTGAAGAAACCCATGCGGGCCACGCTGGTGATGGACTTGGTGATCCACTCCTCCTGGTTCTTGTACGCCTCGTCGACGAGGTGGTGCGTCTCAATGTAGCTGTTGAAGTCGTCCGAGACGAGGTAGTAGTCGCCGTGGTCGCGGACGGCCGAGATGAGGGCCTGGAAGTCGGACGGCGAGCCAAAGGTGCTCTGCTCAATCGCCGAGAAGACCTTGGCAAGGTTCTCGTCGATCGAGTGGGAGCCATAGGTGTGTGCATGGCGGAGATCCTCGACATCCTCGGCCAGGTTGCCAAAGAGAAAGATGTTGCTCTCGCCAATCTCGCGGGTGATTTCAATCTAATCTGGTTTCAGCACTGATCGTCCAGACTTGTAGCATACTACTTACGTTGGCACCGTCGCATGTTCCGATAATGAGACCGCCGTTGAGCACAAACTTCATGTTGCTCGTGCCCGAAGCCCTGCGTGGTGTTAGTCTCTATCAGTCCAAAGCTCGGAGGCTACTCACTCAGTGCCAGCGGTTGAAATGTGCTCGCTCAAGTCGGAGGCGGGGATAATCATCTCGGCCTTGCTGACGTTGTAGTCCTCGAGGAAGATGACCTTGAGCAAGTCACCAATCTCCTCGTCCTTGTTGACGACAGCGCCAACGTTGTTGACCAGGTGAATGATTTGCTTGGCCATCCAGTAGCCGGGGGCAGCCTTTCCACCAAAGATGGAGACGCGCGGCGCCACCTTCTTGCGGTCCTCGGGAGACATGGCCTTGAGCGTCAGGTATCGGTGGATGACGCCAAAGATGTTCATCTGCTGGCGCTTGTACTCGTGGATTCTCTTGACCTGGACGTCGAAGAGCGCGGCGGGATTGACACTGACGCCCGTCGTGGTCTTGATGTACTTGGCCAAGCGTACCTTGTTGGCGTACTTGATCTCCGCCCACTCCTTGCGGAACTGCTGATCGTCGATGCTGAGCTCGAGCTTGTTCAGCTGGGTGAGGTCCTTGAGGAACTCGTGGCCGCCCGTCTTGGAAGCAATGAGCTCCGACAGGCGGGGGTTGGCCTGGTGCAGCCAGCGTCTCGGGGTGATGCCGTTTGTGACGTTGGTGAACTTGTCCGGGCCGTAGATGTTGACAAAGTCCTTGAAGATTGTCGTCTTGATGAGGTCCGAGTGCAGCTCGGCGACACCGTTGACCTTGTGGGAGCCGACAATGGCCAAGAAGGCCATGCGGACCATCTTGGGCTGCGACTCTTCTATGATCGAGACCCGTCCGAGGATGTCACGGTCGTTGGGGAACATCTTCTCGACGCTCTGGAGGAAGAAGAGGTTGATGTCGTAGATGATCTGCAGGTGTCTGGGCAGCAGGTGCTGGACCAAACCGACGGGCCACTTCTCGAGGGCCTCGGGCAGGACGGTGTGGTTGGTGTAGCCAAACGTGGCCGTGACGAGGTTCCACGCCTCATCCCACTCGAGCTTCTCGAGGTCGACAAGGATGCGCTGGAGCTCGACAATGGCCAGCGTAGGGTGCGTGTCGTTCAGCTGGATGGCGACCTGGTCGGGGAACTCCCTCCAGGGGCGTTTGGACTTCTTGAAACGACGGACAATATCGTACAGGGACGCGGCCACCCAGAAGTATTGCTGCTTCAGGCGGAGCTCCTTTCCACGCTCCAGGTTGTCGTTGGGGTAGAGGACGGCGCTGATCGTCTCAGCACGCTGCTGGTCGGCGACCGAGTTTTCGTAGTCACCGCTGTTGAACTTTTGGAAATCAAACTCGCCGCTGGCGGCCTTGCTGGACCACAGACGCAGATTGTTCGTGGACGGGGTGGCGTAGCCTGGGATGGGCACGTCGTAGGCGACGGCCGTGACCGTCTCGCCGCCCTCCCAGCTGGCAACCGTCTTGCCGTTGGCGTCTGTTGACTTTTGAACGTGGCCGTAGAATTGGATCTTGGAGGGTCAGTATGCGTCTTTGAGCGTGTGACTGGCTTGACTCACGTCGACCGTCACGTCCTGGCGAGGGAACTCCCAGGGGTTAAAGTCAAGCCAGTAGTCGGGCACCTCGACTTGGTAGCCGTCGATAATCTCCTGCTTGAAGATACCGTACCTGTACCTCAGGCCGTAGCCCCAGGCGGGAAAGTTGAGGGAAGCAAGACTGTCGAGGAAGCAGGCGGCCAATCGACCGAGGCCACCGTTTCCGAGGGCAGCGTCGTGCTCCTGCTCAATGACATCCTCGATGCGGAAGCCGAGGTCGTCAAGACCAGCTATGCGCTGTCAGCCCCTTTTCTGCCTACACATCGATATGCAGCACTCACCCTTGGCAACATCCTTCAGTCCGACGTTGAGCATGGCATTATCGAGGGCACGGCCCATGAGAAACTCCAGAGAGAGGTAGTAGACACGCTTTCCGTCAACGAGGGTCTGGCGCTGCTGGGTCTTGTTCCACTCCTTGACCAGACGGTCGCGGAAGGCCAGACTGGCGGCAGAGTACGCAGCCGTCTCGTCGCAGTTGAACATGCTACGGGCGAGAGTGGTCTCGACATGGCGGACGACATCCGTCTCAAACTCCTCCTTGGTCTTGAAGGGAGCAGCCTTGGCCTTGTTCCATGCTTCGCGCTGGGGCTCAGGGATGGAAGCTATTCAGAGACGGTTAGCCGAGTGAGCTGCAGGCCTGTTCTAGGGGGACGAAGCTAAGGTACTGGGGCTGTGGATGTGGCGTGATGGAGCTCCCGCTGATCAGTGCGGGGTATTTTGGGGCGGGCAGCCCGGGCTGAGAGCTGCCCCTCCAAGCTCCACGAGAGCTGCCAGAGCTCACCCGCAGGGCTGCGGGCACATGGCAACGCGTGCCATTGAATGGGGGGACGGGCGGGAAAACTCACCCTCGACGCTCTTGATCTCGCCAGCACCGAAGCCGGTAAAGGTTCGCTTGTGCTTGGGGCGGGAGATGCCAGCAGGACCGACGGAGCCCTGGATGTCGACGATGGGGGCACCCATGGACGGGCGACGCTCCCGCGTGGGCAAGCTCTTGGTGTCCGACATTTAGTTTGTACGTGTAACCGTAGAAGGCAAGGGATTGAGCAGTCACAGACTCGAATGGCTCGAATTCAGGCTACAATCACCTCGGAAACCTGCTGCCGTCGTGTTAGCTATGGCGAACTCTCGGGACGTGAGTCGAAACACACGACTCGGCTGGGAGCATGCAAAGCGAGGAGAGGACGAGGTCCAGACTCGACTGACAGCGGAGCGGACGGGACGTACGTCAGGATTCGCCCAGGATGTTAGTGGGGAGAAGAGCGGGGTGCTGCTGGCGGTGCCTGAAGCTCAGTCCACCACGGGGCTGCCGGGATTCGTAGTCAGCGAAACGCCAATGGAGGTCTCTTGGCTGAAGATGAAGGTATCTTTGGCGTCGAATGAGAGTTGTAGCGATGGTGATGGCGATTGGACTGCAGGTATCGTCGCAAGAGGTTCGCAACAGATGCAGCTAGCTCAGCGAGGAGAAGACGAAGCAGAGGCAGAAGCAAGGTGTGACGGGGGAAGACCTGAAGCACCGCAAGCTTTTGGACTCTGAGAAGAGGAGGGGAAGAGGGGGAGGGGTAGAAGGAGGAGGAGACTTCCAGACCGGGAGAGAGGGGGAGGGAGGGAGCTTAAGAAAGAGAAGGGGAGGTATCATTCATGAGCCATGGCTAGTGTGAGGCAGGTAGTCAGCCATGGACCATGGGCCATGGCATGTTTGGCCAGCGGTCAGAAGGTACAAGACGAGACGCAGATGTGATGGGAAGCTACAAAGCGCCTTTCTTGAGATGGGAAGGCATGGCAGCATAGCATCCAATTTGCCAGGCAGGTACAGCCAAAGGCACGCAGACCTGCTCTCGCACAAACCAAGGCGAGGTAGCCGTCATGTTGCACATCAAACACAGGCCCCAAGTTGCGGTCCTGGCCTGGCATGGACGGCCTGGGCATGGATTGACTGATCTGATCTGACAACCCGCACACCCATCAACGACGCGATGGATCTGACCCCGTTTCTGTCTCCATCAAGGTCTTGTCTGGCAATCTGGCCCGGTCTGGCCTGCAACAACACCGAGGAAAACACAAAACGCCTGATATGACCTCACCACAGGGAATTGAGGGGAGCAGGCCGGACAAGCATCTCCCTCTTGCTGGTGAAACCGCGCCGAGCAGATGCAGCAGCAGTGAACACTTGCTTGCCGCAGAGCAACAGAATGCGGGGGAAGCAACAGCAGCACCAACAGCAGCAGCAGAGACACACGGCAGCAGCTATTAGCAGCGACGCCGACCTGGAGCTAAGGCAGTGTAGCGCGACAGGGATGCCGGGTCGCAGCACAGAGAAAGACACCGCGACTGCCAGTCCGGTCGAGACATGAGGTCGTGAGATGCTTCCACGCACAATGGCCTTTCCTCATGCAGTAGCGCAAGAATGCGGCACCTACCCAAGCTACCCAGTGCTGCATCTTGAGGCGCACTAGGAATGGGCCTTTGGCCAGGTTGCCAGGATAGCTCCCACCTCCCACCTCGCCCAGCTGTGTCTCCCACCGCCATCACCCCCCGGCGAACCGACCAAGAACAAGGGCAATAACAGGAACAAGGCGAAGCTGCTTCGCGGCGAACAGCTTGGCCGTGTCGGGACGACCTGGAAAGGCAATCCGGTGAATGTCTACCTCCCTGCGGCGAAAGTACCGGGGGACGCGCAGCTCAACCTCGCGCGGCTCGTATGTGTAAGTCGAGTCGTCAACGCGCATATCTCCGGCGAACTACCTTAACCCCCTTACCCAACCGAAATCGTCCTGGGAACCAACCAAAGCCTCAATTCCAACAGCTCTCGTCTTCGCCTCCGTTGCCGTGCTGCGAGCCCGCCATACCTGCCGCCTCCCGGCAACGACCCATTGGCGAAGAATTCCAGCACCCGTCCCCGTACCCGGCGTACCGTACCGTACCCCGGCGAGGGCCCAGGTTTATTGGGTGCCCAAATCACCAACCAAATTGCCAGACCTTGAGTTCCACAGCTTGACACGGCGCCAACGGCCTGGGGTAAAAAAGACGCTGAACACACACTCCACGCCCGGTGGAGCATGGAACACTGGAGAACGCAAGACTGACAGTTGGCGGCCCCGACTTTCCCGGTTCTCTGTCAAGTCTCGTCTCCCCAGCTCTGTCACGATAGTGGCCACTTTCACAGGAATACGATATTCGCACGGGCTCTCCGTCCTGTTGTTCCTCGTCGGTCTCCATTGCCCTGCATGCCCTCTCCATCGAGTGTCCATCGCCAGCCGGCGCGCCATTGGCTGGGACAGACGACGTCGACCGCCGGCTCCCCGCCTTTTCTGTCGTCCAGCAGAAACTCTGATAGAGCACGACATACGCCAGTCGGAATGCAATGCAATATGCTGCTGCTGCTGCAATCCACCCAGACATCACCTGATGCTTCTCTCGCCCCCCCGTGCGTTGCCATTCCATTCCATAGGTACATCACAATGCCATTCATCCATCTCACCCTCTCGTCAATTGTCCAATTGTCCGACTCGGCCGCCCGGTATCACATACGCTGGTGATATCACGAATTGACGAATCCAAGGTCTGCATGCACCGCGTCGCCTCATCCGTATCTCGACCCCTGTCGTCGCGCCTGAAGAACCAATTCACATGAATAAACAAAAGTGAAATGTGACTTGAGAGAAGCAAATGCACCGCTTCCAGCAGAGCACCACAGCCTTGCGTGATTAAGACGATATAGTATACAAACAAAATGTGCCCAGCCTCAAGCCGACCATCTAAAAGGCGCATCTCCACATCTCCCCAACCTCCTGACAAGTGTACCGGGAAGGCCTTGTCGCCGCCTCGCATCTGCTGCGTGCTGACCGACCAAGCGTCATCTCAATCGTGTCCAACCTGAAGGGACGGACCCGGACGAACCCGCACCACGTTTTTGCAATGAGCAAATGCCACCAACAACGTGTCACTTGAGCCGCACAGCGTCGTACAGTTGAAAAATCCCAATATATGACTTCTTGCTTCTCACATAAGGACACCCCCATCATATATAGCTGTCGCTGCTCTGCACCACGGTTTCCGTAACTCATGGCTTTCCTTGCGAGATGATGGATGCAGTTGTTGCTTTCCCAACCCTAGCCCACCGTCCGAAACGCGAACGGGTCCATTCATCACTTCGTCTGCAAACTTTCAGTTTCCCGTACCCGTACTCCAGAAGACGGCTTGCCTTTTTTTCGTCCTTCTCTCGTGCTTTCTCCCCGGTTCTCTCCGCTCGGGGCGTGCGGCACATCGGTTGCGGATGCCCCTGACTGAAAAGCAATTTGTTCTGCAATGCAAATGAACGGAATTGCCGCTGTCGCATTAGGCCCCCAACCACCGACCGCTATCGCTTATCGTTCGACTGGTAGCCGTAGAAAGCGAGCGAAAAACCAGAGTGAACGCCATCCAAACGAAGTGCCGCCCACAACGCCCGGCAATGCTGTAAAACGCTGACCTGCAACAGAGGAGATGAATCTAAACATTAAGGAAATTTCGGCTGATCAAGCCCGGTAGTCGCTGTTGCGTCTCGTCTCTCATAGGATTCCCGAGTCTCGCAGGGCGTTGTTGAGAATCGTCTCCTTTACTGCCGCAAACACTAGTCGGATATTCGATGTGTCGGTTGCTTGAGTCAGGCTGCCCTCTGATTAGCCCCCCGCCCGCCGAAACGATGACGCTATAACTTACTGGGGATATAGATTCAGGTGTGCTCTGTTTACTTGATTAAAGCGCCACAGCAGATACTTGGCCGCCTTGTTCACGTCGTTGCCGCCCGAGTAGTCCGGGAAGTAGTTGCCCAGCGGTGACCGCCCAAGCTTCTGCTTGAAGATATCGACCTTGTTGAGGAACAGGATGATGCTGGTCCGCATGAACCATCTCGAGTTGACGACGGAGTCGAATAGAAGCAAGCTCTCCATCATTCGATTCTGCGACACGGTTAGCACGCGTCAGACAGACGGCACCAATTTAGGCGTACCTGACTGCTCTCCTCGAGCAGAACCTGGTCGTACTCGCTCAAGGCTACGCAAAAGATGATGGATGTGACGTTTTCGAAGCAGTGAATCCACTTCTTCCTTTCGCTTCGCTGGCCGCCCACGTCAAACATGCTGGTGATAGTTAGCTCTGTCGGGCGGTGCACGGGCGGTCCGCGACTCACTGTATGCTGAGCTGGCCCATTTGGAATCTCGTCTCGTAAATACCGGTCGTCTTTGTTCTCGCGCGGAGAACGTCCATCTCGTTTGGCAGATAGTCGGGTACGACGATGCGCATGACTTCTTGGAAGAAGCTGTTGTCTGTTAGCCACGTCCTACCACACCACGTCCATTGGAGGGCGACTCACTATTCTGCGGAATCCATCAGATAAAACTCGGTTTGCCTCTCCATGAGCTGTTCCCTCGCCGGATCGTTCCATATTGACTGAATGGCGATGCCGATTTGGGGGTCGATGTTCGCCTGAGGCCCGGACTCAGCGGTGTATTCCATCAAAAATGTGGCGTAGGCCTTGTTTTCCTCGATGACAGGTTCGATGTCGAACTGTCGCATTGCCTGGATGACGGCTTTTGCGCACTCGACCAAGTTCTTGAAGACGGTCGGTCGGTAGTTGTACAGCTCATCTTCGGAGTAGCCCTTCAAGTGAATGATTTTCATCTGTTTCACAATGGTCGACTTTCCACTCTCGCCGGATCCTTCAATAATCAGTCAGCATCCTGTCGTACACCACTCCCAATCAATCCCATCACGACCATCACCTACCGAGCAGGAGAATCTTGCATTCTCTTCGTAACCTCTTGGAGTCCTCTTCTAATTGCCTGTCGATGGCCTGGCTCTTCTTCTTCTGTTCCACCTCCTCATTGTTCGAACTCATACAGGCACCCATCGTGGCGGCGTGGTGAGGCTTGAGGTAAGCCGGTGACCGAGATGATGACCGGATTGGTAGGCGTCGGTCCTCGAGCGCAGACTCGAAACGTCCGAGAGAAGTCGTGTGTGGTTGTCCAAGGAACGCACTTTAGATGCCCATAGTAATATTAAATAGATGCGGCAGGTCGTATTGATTAAGTGGCAGGTTTCGCAGCCGGGACCAGCACGGTGAGTGTGCCGTTGAATCGATGCTGTTCAATCGGCGGGTGGAGGACTCGGCGGTAACGAGCAGCAGGCGTCGGGTACTGGGGAGGCTGGGTGGGTGGAGAGACGGTCGGCGACGGCACGGCAATCGTGCACTCTGATGGGGAGCGACGAGAATTCGATTTCGAAGGAAGCGACGATGGATGAGATGATGGGCGGGAGGCGTCCAGGTCGGGGTCAAGCGGAAGCTATCGAGGGAGATGTGGTGGTGCGAAGGAGCGGAAGACGGTGGTGGTAGTGGATGTGGTGGTGGTGAGTGCGACCGGGAAGGCGGGCAAGGACAGTGTCGGAGGAAGAAATGTGGGGATCACAAGGACCTCGACAGCGCTGGCGGGCGGGTAATTGGTAGAGCGCCCCAAGCTAAGGCATCCGTCCCCAGCGAGCGAGCGAGCGCAGCGTCTGGTGTGGGCTGGGCTGGGCGTGGGCGTGGGCGAGAGGACGTGGACGAGTGAGAAGCCGAGCCTTGCAGGGCAGGCCACGGGCAGTTCAATTCGGGGTCAGGGTCGTTCGGCAGCTGTCACAGCCCACGGTATCTGTGGTGGGTGGTTGGAGTGTTGGGGAGCAGGGAGCTGATGTGACAGAGATCAGGCTGGTGGTCTCTTTTGGTGTCCCGGTTCGGATCTCTGATGTGCTGATCTGCGTACGGGTACAAGCTGGCGAATTGGCGTGGGCGTGGGAGGTGGTGATGCAGAGAGAGTCAGTGTGTGCGAGAGTGTGCGAGCGATCGGAAAAGGCAGCAGACAACGCGGCGTCACTTCACACAGCAGAACGACAAGACAGCCACCAGAGAGGAAAGAGACGGACGGACTGGTGCAGGTAATTGGTGGGTAGGTAGAGGGGAAAAGGAATTCTGACGAGGCGGGAAAGTGTAAAGTTGATGCTAAGGTAAGGTAGGGTAGCGGCAGAGAGTCAGACAGAGAGAGAGAGCGGTAACTTTCTCCCCCTTCTTTCACTTTGGCACCGCTACAAGTCGCTGCAGAGCCTGCACCGCAGCAATGCGTGCCGTCGGGGATAAGGTAGGTAGGCAAGGCAATTATTAGCAGCCGACCTCTCTGATGCTTGCTTGCTGCTGGTGTCTGTTCTCTGCTGCTGCTGCTGCTGCTCCTCTCTCTTCCTGCGCCCCCAAGCAGAGCAGAGAGCACCACCCACCAGCACCTGGGAACGTGAGTGGTTGGCAGCAGCCCGCAGACGGGAGGACAGGGCCGGGGCCAGGGCGCGACGGTCCAATGAGGTCGGGTGGGTGTGCGTTTGGTTTGTGGTGGTGCGCGCGAGGTGCTGGTGAGGTGTGCCGTGCAGCGTGGGTGGTGGTGTGTGGATCGGATATGAATGGGTCCAGCAGCGCCCTCCGTCCACGTCCGTCGGGTCCTGGGTCCGCAAAGTCTGATACCTGACGGACCCGGCTTGTATACATTGGATACCTTGCAGGTTAGGTACGGATGGCCATGTAGGTATCACGCAGCAAGGCAGCTAGGCAGTCTGTCTTCAGCAGCTTGGCCTGCCGGAGGAGGAAGAGAGGAACGCAAAATGCCCGGGAGGACAACTGATGATGGGCGACACGATTGGAACATTGGCAGGGCAGAGACAGAGAGAGATGCTTGGGACCTGCCCGTCTGGCACATGGGCAGCACGCCGGGCAGACAAAATAGACAGGGTATCTACAGACGGGGAGACGAGGTGTCAGCAGCCTGTTGCTATTGCTGCAGCTTTGCCAGGTTGCAAGACGAGGTTGCCCGATTTCTGGACGGGTGGTGGGTGGTGGGTGGTGGGAGATGGGTGCCTGGCCTCAGAACGAACAGTGAAGTATGGGGGGCCATGAGCATCGCATCCGCATCATCAACGTCGTCTTACACCTCACATTCTGGGCACCTTCCTGGGTGAGGTACCTTACCTAGAACGAGAGCACCTCAAGGTCCAGACATGCTCGGGAGTACGTACCCGCCCTGCTTGGAACGCCTCGCCCAAGCTGCCTCGAGCACCTGGACTAAGGTAGCTCGACTAGGTAGTAACTGAATGCCGCTATGCAAATTACAATGGCAGGCAGCGAGAGAGAGAGCTCTGTCCTCTGTCTCTCTCATGGCTTGACTGGGTAAGGTACTTTTCCACAGCACACCTCAGGATCGCCTCCACTTGTTTTAGTGTGTTGTCCCTCCACCGCATGCATGGCATTTGAGTATCAGAACCTGCAGTACGTACCGCCTCTTATTGGACAGGCAATGAGACCCCCAAAGTCCACGAGCGAGTGTCGTCTCCGGGCCCCATGTTCGTTCATGTTCATGTTCATGTTCATGTTCTTTGCGTGTCCACCCTGGGTCGGGACTTTTCTGGGCCAGTCGTGGTCCCTTCTATTTCCATCCATCCATCCCTCTCTCTGCCCGCCCGCCCTGGAGACATCCGACCGCTGCTCACTCATCCCACATGGTCCTGTGATATCAATTCCTGCCTCAAATCGCAGCCCTAACAGCTGTCCCTTCACCTTACCTGAGGCACGTAGCGGCGAGGCAACGGGGCGACTCTGAAATGCAACACGCTTGGAGCTCATCTTGCAAGGGCAAACTTTGATGCTGACGGCTCCTCCTCGTCTTTTCTCTGCGCATGCACCGCTAGGTATCTACCTGACGGATACTACTGGTGCTCTCCCAGTCTGCTATTGCACAGGGCAGCATCCTATGGCAGAAGCTCTGCCGGGGCCACCACCACAAGGTTCCGACGTTGAAGAGGGCTCCCTCGTCTTGGCTTCTATTCATATCGACTCAAGATTAACGAATCTAATTACCTTTTTTTTTTTTTTTTTTTTTTTTTTTTTTTTTTTTTTTCCCGTTCTTCCTGCGACTGTTGCTTTTTTTTCTTCTTCGAGCCCTGGCTGGCTGGCCCCCTCCGCAGCATCCAATCTGCGCTGCATCATCTCGATTCTGTAAGGCACCACAACCACGCAAACGCAGTTGGCAAAGCACGACACCGTCCGTCCCGTCCGCCCAATCCTAGAACGTTGTCGGAATTGACCAGTCTCCTGCCCCGTTCCAATTCCTTTCTGAAGCCCCAGACCCAGACCCTTTTTTGCCGCCGTCTCGTTACTTTTTCCAACATGATCATCGTCATTTCCAAGCCCCCCTGTCGACCATCTTTGATGTTTGGACCCTTCAATGTCTGTTCTCGGGCCCCGGCAAATTCCAGCACTCACATGAGCCACGCGAGGTCGACCGCGCCCAGCACCCGCACCGCCGCATTCGGCAGCCTCAGACGTCCCCGATGAGCGAGCGCAGTCTGTTGTCGCGGGCTGGCTCGCCCTCCTCCTCCCCCCTCCAGCCCAAGGCAATGTAACATCTGTTTCAGTCGTTAAGCACCGAGTAATGACTCTCTCACCCCCAACTGCTGCCCCCCCCAAACTGGGCCCCCAAACCTCCAATCTCCCGTCCAGACTCCAGACTCCCAAACTCCAGATCAACGACGGACCCTGGACCACTGCCAAGTTCAGACTTGGACTTTGACTTTTGACCGCCGCAGGCCAGACTGTGGCCACGATGCACTTATCCGTACCTACCTGACCTGCGGATAGTTCACGTACAACTACCTACAGGGCACATTCCAGAACCACAGACGCACAGGAGTCAACAAGTCTAGATTCTCGCATGGGACGAAAGTGACGGCAAGCAACAACGGCAACACCAGAAAACCAAAACGTCCACCCATCACGCCTTTTCGTCGTCGCATTCATCTGTTGCCGTCGATGGATCGTCGACCTGACGCAGACTAGGAGCTTTGATGAGCCGACCCAGGATCCGGGTGACACTTCACTCAGCCCGGCGCTACAGTTTGAACAGAATAGAACAAGACGGATGGCTTCTACCCGCCGCCTCGTTACATGTCCGTGGCTTGCAACCGGTCTTGCGTCCGTTCCTATCGTCTGCAGAGATCTGCTCATCTGGAGTGTCCTTGCCCGTTTCGGTCTGGGCGTCGTCCTGTTGCATCGGTCAACCACCCGCAGCATTGCACCGGGAGCACAGCTCGTCTATTCGTACCTCAGCAACGCACCCAGACGACGCAAGAGATGAGGTAATTCTTCAATGCTGCGGTTACAATTTCAGCTTCACACCGCCAAACTCTGTCTCTCCGGGATACCGGCCGCGTTCTTCGCTGCGGCATTCCAGTGTCCGCCAAGCCCATGAATGTATTCCGCACCGCTGAGCGACCTTGCCGGCGGCTGCTGTTGTTGCTGCAGCTGATGAACGGCCATACGAATACCCTCGCGTCGCGTTGCGAGCTATCGCCCATGGCAGCATTGGCGGGGTATCCCATGGACGAGGTCGCGAGGCCAGAGGATGTAGACCATCACGAAAACCTTATACTCGCTTTGGGCACTCTATTTACCACTTGGCTCTAGCCCGGTCGCAGCTTCATCCTAGTTCCGTCCTTATTCGCCTCGATTTCAGATTGTCCGTCGCGCCCGAAATTTATCAATCCCCTTTCGGTCTCGCTATTCTCCAGGTGGACAGGGGAACGGCCAAATGGCTGCGTCCGTAACGCCACGCTTTCACCTACATCTCTTCGGCCGGCAGTCAAGACAACCTTCGCCCACTCGTCGAGATCTGGATCTAGTTCGGACGTTGTGTCGGCTTCATCAGAGATGGGTCAGACTCAACGGCCGACTCCGCACGGGTTGGGTCCTTTGACAGCAATCCTGGACTTCAGGGCGAACTCCTTTGCATGATTGTCCGTCTTGTTGCTTTCGTGCGAAGGACGAAGCAAGGGCTCGGCCGCACGGTTTGACGACTGGACACCCTTGTCTATATTCACGTTTTCGTCAGATAACTGGCACTGATCAGGGCTCTCGTCTGTGCCCCTGGGGCTTCTCGCCCAATCGGCTAGCGTTGAACTGGCAGGCGGCCCAGCAGCTTTGGAACACTATAGGCAGGGAGCACACGTGGGAGAGGGAGGCATCAAGTCTCATCTCTCCGACCAGTTTGAGAGGCACACCACACAGACAAGGGCCCGTCCGAGCAGCCCCAAACCGCCGGCCCCTTTACGGTACTTCGTACGCCTCGTACGCGCGACCTGGGCCGATGTCTTCAAGGCCGTCAGGCTGTGGGAAGCGGCCGCATTCAGCTACGCACCTGGAATCAAAATGATGCCAATTTTCTCTCTGCAGAGGCGTGGTCTCCAGGAGGCAAGACACAGTCCTACGCCAAGCCTGTCATGCAAGAGCGGTCGAATGGGGATGCTTTCCCAGCAAATCTTCGCAGGCGCGTTCTCATTGCGGGCGTGCTGACAATATTGTCCCCTGGCAGACTTCTTGTCAGCTTCCCAAACGAGAAAGGCTTGATGCACTTCACAATTGTCGGCAGCCCAATCCTTTTCTTCATGCGTTCGCCCGGCGCTTAGCCGTTTGTTCCATTCAGTCAAATACCCGGGGTCCATTGCTGGCCGGCTTCGATGAAGAACTGTCGGGTCTGGGTCACAATCACCGGGACCCGCTTCCGAGCCGATGAAGATACCGGCGTCTGGGGCGTGCGGTCCGATTGATTCTCCGTTTGCTCTGCATGCCTGGATCGGCGCGAACAATACGGCTGACCCTCAGCTTGCTTCCATACGAGTGTATGGCGAGGGCCGTGCGAAGCCAAGTGTTCGCATCTGATGTCCGGAACCCGCAGGTCTGTAGCAGGCATCGTGTAGTAAAACGAACGGCCCTTCGGCAATGGGATGGTCGCCTGCCGCCCTTTGACCTCCTGCTACAGCATCACAGGTGGACGTGCCCCGACAATCCTACGGAACCACAGGAGCGGGCCGAATGAGCTTGGCCAAGCCGGCTTGTTCAAGCGAACACCGGCGCCTCGCGGGGGAATTGTTCCACAAGCCAATCGACCTCTCGCAACCCTGTCGGTGTGTTCCAGTGTTTCACATGGCCTCTGGTCTGACTAATGGGGACGGGCAGAGTTTTGGCTACATTATTCGTTTGTGGCCGCGTCTGCGTGGCGGTCGTTGTTCTACCATGGAAGAACTTAGAGTTGGTCTGGGATGAACGGAGACATTGTCACACGATTCAGCCCGGCTGCTTCACACATCGTCCGGAGGCCAGGGAAAAGCTTATCGGTTTTCCGGGCTTCGAGAGGGGGCTGTGGCGACTCGGCCAATGATTCAGTCAAACCTGTTTGCCACGTGCTCTCAAAACACGCGCATGGTCTGGGGGTTCTTGGTAGAAACATTGTTTGGCGGTGGTGGTGGTGGTGGCGGCGGGCTGGCAAAAAAAAGCATGCATGCCGGTGAAGGGACAAGATGAGTGAAACGGGGAAATCTTTTCCGATCTTGAAGTTTATCAAAGTCGGGGTATATCCATAAACGCCGCGCCTGCAAACCTGGCGTTTGGATTTTGACATGCTATAAGACGTGAGTTATAAGGTCATGGGAGCGTCGACACGAGTACGAATACAGACGCGCGAGACAAGAGATGTAGGCGAATCACGTGCAGAAAAAGGTCGTGGCAGAGGCTAGGCGGGGAGTCATCGGACATTTCGCTTGTGATGGAAATGTCCGGAACCCAACTTACACGGCCTGCGAGATTCGGCGTGATAATCCGGCCGGCATCATGTGGGGCCCGGCGGTTCGTCCGGCGCCCGGCCGAACCCGGACGACAACCTCGTGGCTTCCCGCGCGGCATCGCGACATGCTGTGGCGGTTCGTCTCTGTGATAGGATGATTCAAATCATGACATAGCCGTGTCTGCATCTGATTTGTAACGTGACGGCCCTTGAGAGGTGATGATATTGTAAGCTGGACAGGTGCACAACATCGCTGAGAGACAACTTTACGTGATGGTGGCATGGGAGTGTTCCTCCCGGAGATACCAATGTCCTCATTTGGCAGTAACACTCCATATGGCGTTCCAAGTCGGACTGCTGATCACACAAGTTGGAGCATCTTTCGGGCGGGCTTCCGCCAGGTGGAGATAGTTGAGCTGCGGAAGACATACATTCAACAAATTGCACAAGTACCGCAAGACGTCTCTACATAAACCAACTTCTGAAACCCAAACACATCATAAAGCAACCTTCAAACTAGCTTAGATTCATATCTCAGGCCAGAGCCTTCAAACCGTTTCGAATTCACCTCCCAAGCCAAAATGTCCGCCACCAAGCCCATCGTCTTGTATGGTCACAGTAAGCCGCCCCCAGACCTTCCATCTCACTCGAACACCATGTAGCTGACATGCCCTACATACTACGCCCCCAACCCGGCCAAAGTAGTCATGATTCTCAGAGAACTTGAGATTCCGTACGAGATGGTGAGTCGCCACCTCCTTGCCCATCAGCGAGAAGAGAACCATCTCACAACATGGGCAGATCAAGGTGGAATTCACGGACGTCAAAAAGGAACCCTTCACGACAGTCAACCCCAACGGCCGCCTCCCCGCCATCACAGACCCGAACACAGGCATCACCCTATGGGAGTCGGGCGCCATCATCGAATACCTCGTCGAGACGTACGACACCGAGAACAGGCTGTCCTACACTTCGTTCCCCGAGAAGTTTCATCTGAAGCAGTTCCTGGCGTTCCAAATGTCCGGACAGGTAACGTCGTGCCCCCTACTGACTCACAGCGACAACTCTGACGGATGATAGGGCCCCTATTTTGGCCAGCTCGGGTGGTTCAAAATGTTCCATCCGGAAGACGTCCCGAGCGCCAAGGAGAGATACGAGGAGCAGACTGTGCGCGTGCTGTCCGTCCTCGACCGCGTGCTCAAGGGGAGAGAGTATCTCGTCGGCGACAAGGCGTATGTTTTGCTGTTCTTCTCCCGAGTGGCTCATAGCTGACGGGCAACACACCTAGCACCTACGTCGACATCGCCTTCATGCCCTGGGATTATATGGCCCGCCGCATGCTCGATACTGCGTGGAACGACAAGTTCGCCGTCGACAAAGAGTACCCCGACTACGCGGCCTGGGCGGAGAGGATCAGGTCCCGGCCCGCCGTCGAGAAGACGCTTGCGGCGATGAAGTCGGAGAGGGCCAAGGAGGAGAGCAGCGACTAGCTGCCGTAGGAGTCTCTTCAGTGTGTACGGAGCAGCGACTGACTGCCGTGGGTGTCTCTTCAATGTATACAGAGCAGTGCGCTGCGCTTCGGCGTCCATGACAACACGGATTCTTTCGTATATACAAACCCCGTGGCGAGGGAGATAAATCCTATACTGACATTGAAGCGAAGAGGGCAGGACTGCCTGTCTGTCTAGTCCTCCCAGATGGCGGCTTTTGCCCTTTCCGTCTCCTCCTGCTTCTTTCTCTCCGCCGCCTTCTCCTCTTCCCTGCGCTTGCGCTCCTGCTCCCGCACGGCTCTGTCGTAGGCCTTTTGCTCCTCCGTCTGCTTCGGGACCTTGACGCCGAGCGCGCTGGCAATCATGCGCCTGGCCACGGCGTCCGTCTTCTCGGGACGACGCGGACCGCCTGCCGGTGGTGCTCCTGCTGCCGAGGCGCCCGTGGGATCCGTCGTGCTGTACGGGGGAAAAGAGTGAGACGCCGCGTTGTACGTGGGAGAGATGGGGGTCGGAGGAGGAGCCTTGGAGCCGTCGCCGCCCGGGGGCTTTGCCTCCTCTTCCTCATCGTCATCGTCGAGGTCCTCGTCTTCCCAGGAGTCTACGACTGGCTTCTTAGTCTTCTTGGCCGTCTTTGCGGGCTTTTTGTCGCCATCCAGCGTGAGCTTGGAGAGGGACGAGGCGACGTCTGACTTTTGACCTGAAGGCATCGTGGAAGTGAATGTGAAGTCGTGCGTGCGTGTGTGTATGTGTAAGTATGAGTATGTGATGGCAAGGTGCTGCTTGAAGAACCAAGTCCCGAGACCCCGGATGCGGTCCCGTCGGGAAGCGAGGGTGGGTGGATGTTCCCAGGTGCAGGGAAGGGAAGATCAATGAGAAAAGGGGGAGGGGGAAGCAGCGTCCGCAACGTCACGGTGGAGGAGGCGTGAAGGATCAACAGGGTGAGCGCTAGTGCAGAGGTGACGATGCAGGTCGCAGCCGGGCTCGAGAGTGCAAATTCGAGTGTGAAGACGACGAGTCTGCGGGATGGAGAGCAGTTCTCGAGAGTCCAGAGCTTGTGATGGCAGGTGCCGAGGAAGACGATGGTCTGGACCCTAGGTATTAAATCTGGTAATGGACTGATGTCGAGCACTGTGACCTGTGTGAGCGGGCTGGGCAACGGCTCCAGGAGTCCAGCTGTGTGACATTGGATGGACTGCCGTTCCCTCTTCAGCGTGGGGTGCTTGCTCACCTTCCCCGCAATCGAGTCAAAGAGTTCGGACGCCACGGTCTAGGTACTGTGTGTGCACCCCGAAAGAGACACTGTAGTTGTTGGAGCTTGCAATATGCAAACGGACAGTATGAACACGACGACTAGAAAAACACCAGTGGCTGGCCCTGCACTGCACCTAAGCCGCTGACTGATGCATCGGTGGAATGCTCCGATGTGCTCCCGCCCGCCGGGTCCGATGTTCTTCCAGATTCTAAAGGCAGCCGGGTGGAGCCGTGGCCACCCCACTGGGCAACGACGTCTTCCACTCTCAGTGGCCGAGCCAGCGGCAACGTCAGTGCTCTGCTGGCTGGCGGCGGATTTTTTGGTGATGTCGTTTACTCTGTAGTCCCCCGACGTGCTCCATAATAGCTAAAAAGGCTACCTACTCAGCCGGGGACCTTGACTCTCTCGCTCTCGACTGCCACTTTGTATTTGTAAGGCGACAGGAGGCCATGCGCACCGCCATCTAGGACGAGACGTCCTGCACTGCTGCACAAATTAAACAAACCCGCACGTTTCAATTGTTCTGAAAGCTCGTCTTCCTCTTGTTCCCCTCTCTCTCCTTCCTCTCAGCGGCCATTCGCCTTCGGCCCTGCAACACCCGACTTCCACGTGCCCGCGAGACCGGAGCTTCCTCAACGCTTGCTGGTCCGCAACGCACAACCTCGCCAACACTCCCCTCGACCGCCGCCATCATGGTCATGCGATCGAGCTTCCCGAGGCGCCTCGCCCTCGGCCGCCCAGCCAACTATCTCAGACGCCCATACTCCACCCCGAGCAGGCTATCCCCCGCCAGTGCCCCGAGGTGCTCGGCTCCCACCTTCGACCGTCTGCTCCTGTCCGCCGCCCCCCGAACACAGCGAGCCGTCGCCCAGTTCTCGACGTCGACGCACCGCCTGAAGGAGGAGGAGGACAACAACGGCTTCTTCGACCGCGCCGTAGAGCCTCTGTCCGAGGAGGAGCAAAAGGCCAACCTCAAGCACCAGCGCGAGCTCGAGGAGAAGGAGCTCGCCGCCGAGGCAAAGAACTCCGGCTCCGAGTCCTCCCCCAAGAATGAAGGCTCTGCCGGCGGCGCCCAGGACGGAAAGGGCAGCAGCGCGGCGGGCGGCTCATCGGCGGGCTCTGGCAGTGGTGGCGACGATAAGGGCGACGGCAGCGGCCGCAAGGGACGCAAGGCCTCGGACAAGAGCTTGCAGAAGCCCGTCGTGCCGGACGTGTACCCCCAGGTCCTTGCCATCCCCATTGCGAAGCGGCCCTTGTTCCCCGGTTTCTATAAGGCTATCACCATCAAGGACCCCAACGTGGCCGCCGCCATCACCGAGATGATCAAGCGCGGCCAGCCATACGTAGGAGCGTTCCTCTTCAAGGACGAGAATCAGGACGAGGACGTGATCCGCAACGTCGATGACGTCTACGATACCGGTGTCTTTGCGCAAATCACCAGCGCCTTCCCGATGCACGGCGAGCAGGGCAGCCTCACGGCCATCCTGTACCCCCACCGCCGCATCCGCCTCTCGAGCCTGCTGCCGCCCGGAACCGAGGACAAGAAGCCCAGCGAGGCCAAGGTCGAGCCCGTCCCCGAGCCGATACCCCCGAAGCCCGTCGAGGAGGAGGCGCAGCCGGACAAGAAGGGCGACGTCGTGGCGAGCTTCGAGGAGAGCGCCGTCGCGCCCAAGCCGGACCAGGCCGCAGAAAAGTACGAGCCCACCGCGTTCCTCAAGAGATACCCCGTCAGTCTCGTCAACGTCGAGAACCTGACCGAGGAGCCCTATGACCCCAAGAGCGCCGTCATCCGCGCCGTCACGAACGAGATCGTCAACGTCTTCAAGGAGGTCGCCACCATGAACAGCCTCTTCCGGGACCAGATCTCCACCTTTTCCATGAGCCAATCGACTGGAAACGTCACGTCCGAGCCGGCGAAGCTTGCAGACTTTGCCGCCGCGGTATCCTCGGGCGAGCAGGGCGAGCTCCAGGAGGTCCTTTCCAGTCTCAACGTGGAGGAGAGGATGCAAAAGGCACTGATCGTCCTGAAGAAGGAGCTCATGAACGCCCAGCTGCAGTCAAAGATCACCAAGGACGTCGAGAGTAAGATCACCAAGCGTCAGCGCGAGTACTGGTTGATGGAGCAGATGAAGGGCATCCGCCGCGAGCTCGGTCTCGAGTCTGACGGCAAGGATAAGCTGGTGGAGAGGTTCAAGGAAAAGGCCGACAAGCTGGCCATGCCCGAGGCCGTCCGCAAGGTCTTTGACGACGAAATTAACAAGCTCGCCCACCTCGAGCCCGCGGCATCTGAGTTCAACGTCACGCGTAACTACCTGGACTGGCTCACCCAGATCCCGTGGGGACAGCGCAGTGCAGAGAACTTTGGCATCAATAATGCAATGACGGTACTCGACGAAGACCACTACGGCCTGAAGGACGTCAAGGATCGTATTCTCGAGTTCATTGCCGTTGGCAAGCTTCGCGGCACCGTCGAGGGCAAGATTATCTGCTTTGTCGGCCCTCCCGGTGTCGGCAAGACGTCTATTGGAAAGTCCATCGCCCGCGCTCTCAACCGCCAGTACTACAGATTCAGTGTCGGTGGTCTCACCGATGTGGCGGAGATCAAGGGCCACAGACGCACCTACGTCGGGGCTCTGCCTGGCCGCATCATCCAGGCGCTCAAGAAATGCCAGACCGAGAACCCCTTGATCCTGATTGACGAAATCGACAAGATCGGCCGGGGCTACCAGGGCGACCCCTCGTCTGCCCTTCTGGAACTTCTCGACCCCGAGCAGAACAGCTCTTTCCTGGATCACTACATGGACGTCCCCGTCGACCTGTCCAAGGTCCTTTTTGTCTGCACAGCCAACATGACCGACACCATCCCCAGACCCCTTCTCGACCGTATGGAGCTCATCCAGCTCTCCGGCTACGTCGCCGACGAGAAGAAGGCCATTGCCGACCGGTACCTCGCCCCTGCTGCCAAGGAGGCCGCAGGCTTGGCGAACGCCGACGTCAAGCTGAGCGAGGAGGCGATTGAGGAGCTCATCAAGTCCTACGCGCGCGAGTCTGGTGTGCGCAATCTCAAGAAGCAGATCGAGAAGGTGTACCGCAAGTCCGCCCTCAAGATCGTCCAGGACCTCGGCGAGGAGGTCCTCCCCGAGCAGGAGGCCCTCACCGACAGTGGCAAGGAGGCCCTGGAGGAGTCGGAGAAGAAGACGGAGGCTGCGAAGGAGACCGGCGAGGAGCCGGCCGAGACTCCCACGACCGAGAAGCCCCGCGTGGCCCTCAACGTCCCGGACAGCGTTCACGTCACCATCGGAAAGGAGAACCTTGTTGACTACGTCGGTCCCCCCGTCTTCACCTCGGACCGCCTTTACGAGGTCAACCCGCCCGGTGTCGCCATGGGTCTCGCCTGGACCCAGATGGGCGGTGCGGCCATGTACGTCGAGTCTATCCTGCAGGCCCCTCTGCGCCCCAGCAGCAGGCCCGGCCTCGAGATCACCGGCAACCTCAAGAACGTCATGAAGGAGTCCTCCACGATTGCCTACTCCTTTGCCAAGGCGCTCATGGTGAAGGAGTTCCCCGACAACCACTTCTTCGACAAGGCCAAGCTCCACCTGCACGTCCCCGACGGTGCCGTGCAAAAGGACGGTCCTTCGGCTGGTATCACCATGGCCACCTCCTTCCTGTCCCTCGCCCTCGACACGCCCGTCAACCCGACCGTCGCCATGACGGGCGAGCTGACCCTGACCGGCAAGGTGCTCCG